CACAAACACCCTTGAGTTCTTATTGTGATGAAAATACCTGCATTAGTCAGAAGTTAAATTGTGTAGCAACAACAACAACAGCAGCAGCAAAAATCATTCCAATCTGATGGCTTAACAGAAACTTCTCTCTCATTTACCCATGAACAGGAAGTTCTGGTCCACAGGGTTATTCAGAACACCAAGATGGCAGGTGTCCTGACACCTCTCCACAGCTGCCATGTCTGGGGACAACAACAAAACCATTTCTGCTTTGCTTTGCCCAGATGTGACACTACACATTCTATCTATAGCCCCTTGACTAGAAGTCCTGTGGACATCCTGATACCAAGCAAATAGGATAGGAGATGGGCCAGAGACACTTAGAAAGTATAAAAGTCTCTGTCACAGTCCTCAGTCCCTGTAAGAGGCAAGTGGTTCTGGATGAATCACAAACCTTCATCTTCATCGAGCACCACAGAGCAAGCTGCCGTGGTTCAGGCTCTCTGCTCAGCCTCATGCTGCTTGTGTGACTGAGCAAGTAAGTCATGCTGCCTCCATTTCCACACCTATCGAGTGGAGATTCCAACACCCACCTCTGCACGAGCGAGAAAGACACTCTGTGCTTGTCATCACTAGGAGGGCACAAAACATCGAAGGCGGCAGTTCTTCTGCAACAGCTCTGATATGACAGATTATCTCAAAGACTATGGGGACCCTTCCCAAAGACATCATGGCCAAGATGATTGTAAATTACCTTTGCAAGTAATCCAAGATAGGATGAACATGGACACCGCTCTTGGATTGGGAAATGCCAGTTCTATCGTGTAACCTTTTCTGCTTCTGTGATACCCTCTCCTGACTCCAGAGTCTTTATAGATCAGAGTGGGTGTGAAACCCAGTTTAGTTACCCTCTTCAGTTAGTGAGCATTCTGAGCCCCCCTACCCCTGTGTGTGTGTACTGAGATTGAATCAAGGCCTCTTAACATCCGGACAGTCACGACTACTTCACAAGGTTATCTATAAGATCAAAAATAATTCAGATCAAGTCCCCAGCACAGTATAGTGTAACTATCTGTCTTTCGTACATTGTAGTGTGAATTCCTGCATTTGGTATGAGAGGTTTGCCAGAGAAATCTCACTTGGATCCGTGAAAGCCCAAGTCAACAGCAGGTTAGGACCTATCTGTCAGGAAATGGCCTTTGTTGGCACGAGAGGACTCATCTACTCTTATGCATTAAGGATCAAAGCAAACAAATAAACAACAACAGCAACAACAAAAAGACACACAAATACAAATTTCCGATTTCTTCTAAAGAACTGATTTTGTCTCCAGTGGTCAAAATCCACCTCTTACAGACAGATGAGCTTTTTTAGGATGCCAACAACTCTTACCCCTCCTTGCTCTAGTCTGCCGCCTGCTTTACTCTTCCATCAGCTTGACCTGTGTAAGAAGGTGAGTGTCACTGACACACAAAGCAGTCAGTCCTGAGGGGAGTGACTGAAGGGGAAAGCTGGCAGGGAGGCGAAGCCATCTTCAACTATTCAACCAAACACCAAGGGCTGTATCGAGTATTTTTGCTGCTCCTCTTATTTTTAATTTTGGTTAATTCTTTGAGAACTTCAAACAGTATATTTTTGCCATATTGTTTTCCATCCCCCACACTGTTCCTTTTGGGCTTCCGTAGTTCTTATTTGACACAAGCTCCCACGTAGCCCGGGTTTATTTACTGTGTAGCAGGAGTTGACCTTGGGCCCCTGATCCTCCTGCCTTCACCTGGTATTGTTAACCTCTAAAAGATTGCACAGGTTACATAAAGTATCACTTTCTTTGCTTTTCAGTGGAACTATATTTACTGGGCAATTGAATTATGCAAACTCAGACTAGCAAGTAAATGTCATTGATAAATTTTTCTAAAATTAAGGAGATAGATTATAGGGGCTGGAGAGATGGTTCCGCGGTTAAGAGCACTGACTAGTCTTCCAGAGGTCATGAGTTCAATTCCCAGCAACCACATGGTGGCTCACAACCATCTGTAATGGGATCTGATGCCCTCTTCTGGTGTGTCTGAAGACAGCTGCAGTGTGTTCATATAAATAAAATAAATAAGAAATCTTAAAAAAAAAAAAGGAAGATAGATTACTGTAATAAGTGGAATTTGATTGATTGAGCCTCAGCACTGAGGAGAGAGAGAGACAGAGAGAGAGACACAGAGAGAGACAGAGAGAGACAGCGACACACAGAGAGACACAGAGAGAAAGGCTGGAGAGGTGGCTTAGCAGTTAAGGACACAAGCTGCTCTTGCTTGAGGACTTAAGTTCAGTTTCCAGGACCCATGTCAGGTGGCTCACAACTCCAGCTCCAAGGGACCCAATACCCTCATCTGGCCTCCACAGGCACTGCACTCATGTACACACACACACGCACACACGTAATTAAAAATTTTTTAAAACTTAAAAAAGAATGAAGTTCAAAAAGAAGAAAAATAACAATAAAAGGTGTCCTCATTAATGGAAATGCTGAGAAAGGAGTGACTGTCACTGTCCTTTCTCACAGGAACTTGATCTCAAGTTAAAACGTGTCCTCCAAGTGTTAGGAGCTCAAGTTACCTCCGAGTAGGGAGGAAAAATGCTGAGGAGAGGCAATGAATGGGGTCTGCTTCTGAGGCCAGGGATTTTTTTTTCTTTTTTTTTTTTTTTTTTTTTTTTGTTTTGTTTTGTTTTTTGAGACAGGGTTTCTCTGTGTAGCCCTGGCTATCCTGGAACTTGTTCAGTAGACCAGGCTGGCCTCGAACTCAGAAATCCGCCTGCCTCTGCCTTCCAAGTGCTGGGATTAAAGGCGTGCGCCACCACCGCCTGGCAAGGCCAGGGATTTCATGTCCTAAGCAGGCTCACATCCATCTTAATAGGAGACCTCGGATTACTACTGACTGTTTTCTCTGAAGCCAAAGGCAATGTCTCTGAAACGCAATGTCCGTTTATGATACTGCTGTGCATGTGCACTCGTGGTCTTTGTGCCAGTGTACAAGGCCACTGAATTATGTATGGGTGAAGAAACTCTCTCCTGATGACCTGCAATTCTCAAGGATCGTTATATGTTATAGAACATAGTATGATTCATAATTTTGCTAGGTGGGGCAAAGGCATTACCTTTTAGTCCTCGTCAGCTCTTTCTAACATTTACCTGAAGCTTGTGGGAATCGGAATTGTCAAAAGAATGCAAATGCTTTAAGTTCTCCTCATCCAGCCTCCTTGTTTTCCAAAAGTCTGGAGGAGGGGAAAGGGCTGCCCCAGACAGCGCCAAGACCAAAACCAGGTTCCCTGATTCTACCTCCATTTCCATATGTACATTTTTGCTTTTCTTTTTCCTTTTAAAGCAAACTACCCCAACCTGTTGTTGTCTGAGACCTGTTTTGTCTTCATTTATTCTAGGCTTCTACCTAATGGTCCAAGCATCTGATATATCCACAGTCCGCTTTCTAGCATATTTATTGCATTAAACACATTCTGAAGAGTGGAGAGGCTGAGTCTCTTGCCTAGGTTACACAGAGCACCAGATTTAACTCCAAGTACTTAAAAACACCAAGAAACAAACCAGAAAAGAAATTTCTTTCAAGTTAGAGGTGGATTGCTGTGGAAATCCTAAAGACGTTTCTGGACAGTGCTGTCTCTTGCTCGACTTATCTCAGTTGTAGGAGAGAGAGGCATAAATTCTTATGATGAAAAAAGATCAGGAAGGAAAAAAAATGGAAGTGGAGGCAGTCAACGCTGAACAGTAAGTGTGCTGCAATTTAAGGTCGACACTGTGGCGTGAGTAATCCTGACTCATCAGGCATACAGACAGCTATGCAAATGACTCTGGGAAAAGAGGCAAAGGATACTGGCGAGGCACCATCCAGCCCTCCAGCCCCAGTCTGTGCCCTTTGCACGATCCACACCACACACCAGCTTTATGACAGTGTCAGCTGTGTGGAGATAAGAAAACGAGGGCATATGCTAAAATCTTCATGATACAAAATTTATTCCATTTGAAATAATGTCTTACAGTCTAAGATTAGGTCGTCCCTCCTTTAGTCCCAAAACAGTAATGAGATGACACTGGCTGACAGAGACAGTTTACATCTTTACGGGCGCCCTGGCAACTTAGAAACATCGTCGTTCTGTGTTAGTCTCTGCTTCCATCCTCAGCGACTACACTGATTTAGAAAATCCGAATGTCAGGTAATCTCTCACGTAGAAAACTATGAGTCAAGCAGTAAGTGGTTACTGATCTATTAAGAATAAATTGAAGATAATTAACATACTTTAGGAGAGGCCTTACCAAAATCTTTCCATTCTGAACCTTTGCCCATTACACAGTTCCATAAGTACATCAGATTGGGTCATAACAACTGTCTAGTAATTAAATAGACAGGAGTGAATTTAAAAATAGAAATAAATACAGATGACATTATACAAATCAAGATGGTCCTGACGCAAAACTCTTCACGTGTTAGATGGCAGCTCAGTTTTTTTTTTTATCTGAAATGAATCAAGAAATTAATTCGAATAATGATTGTAGCAATAAGAAGAAATTCAACACAAATTCCATCCTCTCCAGCAGCATGCCTCTGTTTGTTCTACACTACCCGCTTGCCATAGGCTGGCTAAAGGAACGCTCCACAGAGGAAGAAAGCATAGAGGATGAGGAGCGTGCTGTGGGAAGGCAGTGTAGCAGGCTCCGACCAGGACAAGCTCCCTCAGTTGCTTGTGTGGCAATGCAGTTGTGCAAGCTCTGGCTAAACCTGCTTAGAGAATAGGCAGAAAGCCCCAAGAGGTTCCCTGCTCTGAGCAACCTTCCCGACTCTTCCTCTTCCTCTAAAATGGAGGCAGGTTTTTCTCCACTCTGTGTTCTCTGAACTCCTCACCTTCCAGGGCCTCCTATCTCTGAAGGGGAATACCTGGGATGGGCATTCTCTGTTGCTCATTGCTTACAGAACTGTCCCACCGTCTCACCCACCCTACCGATATCTCTGCCAGAGCACTTACAGAGCTGTTTCTGAATTCCGGTCATTCTTTTTCATGCAGAGCTAAAAGGCAAGCACAAAGTGCATGAGTTTACCTCCTTTCCTAAGGTCAGCAATGAACATTTTGAATGCATCAGGTTTGCATTGGGTGCTGTTGGAGCTACAATGCAGCCATCTGTGTGGGCTCAGCTCTCTTTACTTTTACTTTGATCATGTGGATAGATCTTTATTGAATTTTGAGAAGATATAAGTCTTAATCAGAATGTTTCACAGGTCATATATATATATATATATATATATATATATATCAGTGAGAGTGTGTGTGTGTATGTGCGTGCGTGTGTACATGGTGGAGGAGTGTCGTGTCTACATGTGTAGAGGACAGAAGACAACTTGCAGGTGTCCATTTTTTTCCTTATATGGGCTCCAGGAATTGAACTCAGGTCATCAGGCTTGGCCACAGGTGCTCTTACCTACTAAACAATCTTGTCTGTACAGTTTTTCCCCCCCCTCCTTTCTCCTCTCCCCTCTCTGTCTCCTCTCTCCCCTCTTCTCTCTCCTCTCTCCCCCCTCTCTTTCCCTTCCCTCCCTTTTTCCTCCTTCCCTCCCTCTCATTCTTTCTTTCTTTGGAAAAATGCTTTGGACTGGAACAGAGGGTAGGGCAAATTTCTTCTTGGGAAACACTGTTACCCTGAATCAGCTCTAGTTACTGTTGCAAGGAGAACCAGCTCTCTGGCTGATGAGTTCAGCCTAGGGCATTCTGGCTCCCTTTAGAGGTTTCTTGCCAGATGTGCCCTCTTTAGCCCGAGTGATCTCACAGAGTCAAATTCGAGCCAATAGCCTAAGCACGTACATATTCTGAAACACAGTAAACAATGATGTCAACCATTGGACAACTCAAACTACAGCCCACAGCAGTAGAGCATGTGGCTGTATCCAAGAGCACAGCATGCAGACGTCTGTTCCTCTCTGTGTTTATTTATTGCACCAAGGGTGCCATGGCAACAGTAAAAGGGAAAGTTATTGATTGAGGGTCTTGTTTTTCAAACAAGATTTGGCTATGCAGCCCTGGTTGGACTTAAACTCAAGATCGTCCTGCTTCTATGTCCCCAGCACTGGGAAGACAAGTGTGCACTGTCTCACCTCACGGGAGAGATTTAAAAGGAAGAAAAATCAACTCTAAAGCTCCCATATTTCCACTCAGGCTTTGTCCACATGCCCTTCTCTCCTACACACAGGGTGAGCACTAGAGCCTCGCACGTGCAAGGCACGCAGTCTACCACCGAGCACAGCGCCAGCCTCTTAGATGACTTTTGCCCCAGTTGTTCAGAATACTTAAGTACCTTCATTATTCTTTTCCTCCTAGAAACCAGTGCAAAACCCAGCGTCAGGAGGACCACGACACAAGCAGCAATGATGGGCTCTATCGGCACAACTGGAACTTTTTCTGTTGGGAAGGCAAATGCAGGGAGAACAGCCAACTTCTAATTGCTGTATTTCTAATATGAACCATGCATGTGCACTTTGCATTTATCACCCTTTTAATGAAGCCCCCCAGACAACCCTAAAAGATGAGGCATGACGGGGGTCTTTGACAGGTTAGGCTGCTTATCCAAAATCACAGAATTAATAAATGGCAGGTGCAGATTTTGAACCCATTCCTTTGTGAAAGGAGTTTCTAAAATTTGAGTATCTCGCCCAAAGTGACTGCTCAGGTTATTTTGTGCTTTCTTTATTATATTTTCCCTATCCCCATCCCTACCCCCAGACAGGGTTTCTCTGTGTAGCCCTAGCTGTCTTAGAACACACTCTGTAGACAGGCTGGCCTCAAACTCACAAAGATCTGACTATTTAAAGACATGCACCAGTTCTACCCAGAGCTAGCTGGCTTGTTTGCTTTTCTCTCCTTGCCTTACATGTATCTATTTGTGTGTTGGTGTATGTGATATTCACACACCACAGGACACATGTGCAAGTCAGAGGACAGCTGTGGGAGTTAGTTCTCTCCTCCTACCATATGGGAACCAAGGACAGAACTCAAGTTATTGGGCTTGGCAACAAGTACTCACTGAGCTATTTTGCTCAACCAATTGTCTTTTAAAATTCTTTTCTTCCAATTATTTCTTTTGGCTCCTGCTCAGGATAATTGAGGAGGGCGTAAGTAAATAAATCCTTTAAACATCTTTTGTTTTCTTGTGTGTGGGAGTACTAGGGATAGAACCCAGGGCCTAGCACATACCAAGCAGAAATTCTACCACCGAGCTACACCCCTGGCTCCAAAGCATCCTTCACTTCTGTCCACTCTTGGCTGTTCTCCCACCCCCCAAATTATTCTCATAAAGGTGTGAGTGGTGCCAACCATTCCACAGGGGTGTGGGTGTGCTTGATGAGCCATCTTAAAAAGCACTGGCTTTGTGTTAATCAACTCTGGGATACACTGAGGTCATTACCTTACTGGAGACCTCTCTACTAATACACCAAGGAAATTTATCAAAACCGAGAGGAAGCAAAGGCCAGATGATTAGGAGGAGAAATCAGATTACAGTCACAGATTGGAATATCTTTTACCAAACTGAAGGTCAGGAAGTCATACGTGACAGCTTTGCTTCTACAAATTAAGTTGAAATAAACTTACTGACCTACTGCCTCACTTTGAATTCCAAGTTCCTGTTGGGAGACACATGTAACCTCCTGCATTCCTTCCCTTGGCGTTCCTATCTGTGACCAGACTCGGTGTCCCCTTCCCCAGACAATTAAGATAAAAAATAATTTCTAACATGTGGGCTGACTCTTATGCTGGCCAGGCGCTTCCTGTCATTTCCAGCGTTTCAAAGTCGTTTAGCAACTACCCCCACTGAACTGTGAAGCCAGGAGATCCTGTGGAAAATTTGGCATCAAGTGCCACTGAGTGCCAGCAGCAGACCACGTGTGCTGTAAAGGCAAGCTGACGACAGCCTGAGAAGTAACAGAGCAAAAAAGAAATAAGAAAACAGGCTGCTTTGGCAGAACTCCACCCCAAACAAGTTTCTGCCCACCTAAAAGGCAATTCACTGATTGCCACACAAGCTGTGTGATTTTTAGAAAATGTGTTTATAGAGCAATTATGCTTTTTTTTTCTCCTAACCAAAAGAGATGCTATAATCACCCAGTCTTGAAGAAGTATGGTCTCATTGCTGTAAGAGCTAATTAAGATGGCACCACATGAGGTTTACCCCACCAGGTTTTTATAAAGGCTCTGGGGAAGGTTTTAAAAAGCCACAAGCTTCAAGGTGGTGTTCCTTCCATTGCTTCTACCCCTTGAACACAGGGGGTTTTGTTTCCAGTTTTTGTTTTTGCTTTTTCAAGCCCCAAGGCATACTGTCATTGCTCTGTAGGACAAATTAATGAACAGCTCAGTAACCACGGTGACAGGGCAGTCAACCAACAGCCACTTTCCCTCTCCACAGGTCACTGTGTTTGTATCCCAGGCTCCCTGGTGTGGGGAGGAAATAAGGCTGTGCTCTGGTGACAGTAGTCCAGACAAGCAGGCAGGAAGTTGGTTTGTTTCCTGGGAAGTGGCAAGAATGACATCCTGGGAAGTGGCAAAAATGACAATGAATGAGTAGAGTGAGTAATGTTCCAGCCAGATGCAGCTGGATGCAGCTGGATGCAGGAGCCTCAGTTTGTCTGGCTGCTCTCTGAGTATGTGCCCAAGACCAAACATGTGTGAATGAGCGGTGTGCCTCTGCAGCATCAAGCATTCCAATTTCCTGTTTGAGCAAGAAATCAAAGGAGATGTGTGCATAGGGTGCACACATACACACATTCAGGCAAACTCACACATGTAAAGCAAAATGAAGAAATCTTTAGAAAGGACAAGAAATCTAAGGAGAACACTCCAAACCTCCCTGGTTTTCCTTATCACAGAATAATAAACTCTAGTGGATATCGCATAATGCTAAAGGAGAAAGGTCTGATTAGCCATCTTTCCCACCCACTCTATCAGATGACAGGATATAAGAGTTAGGAGTGATTGCAGAGATTTTTTTTTTAAATCTAAACGTTTTTCTCTTGTACATTTCTGAATTCTCTTCTGTTATAGGCTATGAACTCACAGCTAATTCCTGTGTACATCAGTGCTGAAGGAAATTTGTAGAAGTCTCTTCCCCAAAAAGCTAAACCAGAATTGCTTTCTGTATTGGTAAAGATCTTTGCTCAAAACTAGTGGTCTATATGGAATAGACAGGATTCTTCTGATCTCTCTCTCTCTCTCTCTCTCTCTCTCTCTCTCTCTCTCTCTCTTTCTCTCTCTCTCTCTCTCTCTCTCTCCTGAAGACAAGGTTTCACTGTGTAAAACTGGCTAGCCTAGAACTTGCTTTGTAGATCAGTCTGGCCTTGAACTCACAGAGATCAACCTATCTCTACCTCTCAAGTGTTGGGATTAAAAGTGTAGGTTCACCATGCCTGGCTTAGAAAAAAATTAAAAAAAAAAAAAATTCTACCACTGAGCTATCCTAGCCCTTTGCAGTGCCCAAGAACTCCTGCATACAAGGAAAACACCCTCCCCATAGAGCCCTAGCCTCTAGCTCTTCTTAATGTTTGTTTGTTTTTCTGAGACATGGTCTTGCTAAGTTACCCAGGCAAGACTTGAACTCACAAATCTTCCTGCTCTAGCCTTCTGTATTGCTGAGATTAAAGGCTTGCAGCACCAAGCCTGACTCAGACAACATTCCTAAAGAAAACGCTCTTAGATGGGGATAATCTCCCAATGGAAGTCTTTGCTATAAACCGTAATGGTGCCCATCATTTGTTGTCACTGATGACATTCACAGAGCCTGTTCTCTGACTTACGCATCACGCTGAGCAATTACTTGAAAAGAGTTACCTTTAACAATCAGGTGGAAGTCCATGGTCTCCATTTTCAGAGATGAGCTGGCAATACAGTTGTAGGTCCCATTGTCAGAGTTCTTGACTTTGGTGATTGACAACTGAAAAGACTCGCTTGTCTGTTGGATTTGGTGATGGCCTTTCTCTAAAACCAAGGGGCTGTTGTTTTTATACCACATCATTTGGGCTTGAGGGTTGGATTTCACGTTGCAAACCAAGCTTACATAGCTGTCTTCCTCCACGGTTTGGAAGCCATTTCCACTTAGAAGAGGAGGAACTGTAAGACTCAAGCATTCAAGATACGTTAGAGACATGCAGTAGTTAGTCCATTGTCCGAAATGTAAGCTCCTCCTTCCATGTCTCTCAGGGTGTATTCACCCCTTAGACCAAAAACAGTGCCTGCTGTGTACTGTGTACACATTCAATTCCTCTCTTCATAGAACTTTAAAGGTAGTAAAGATAGACCATGAAGGGATGGGGAGATGCTCAGCAGTTAAGAACACTAGCTGCTCTTCTAGAGGTCCCAAGTTCAATTCCTGTTACCTCCATGGCGGCTCACAACTGTCAATAACTCCAGTTGTAAGGGGATCTGATGCCTTCTTCTGGCTTCTGTAGGTACCAGGCACACACACATAGTGTACAAATATGCATGTGGCTAAAACACTCATATACATATAATAACAAAATAATTTCAATTAAAATGTTTTTCCTTTAAAAAAGATATACCTGAAGCTGTATATGATGAAGAACTTAATATATATATAATAATAGCTGAGATGGTAGCACATGCCTTTCATTCTAGCCCTTGAGAGGCAGAGGCAGGTAGATCTCTACAAGTTTTACACCAACCTGGTCTACATAGCAAATTTCAGACTGGTCACATAGGAGGACCCTGTTTCAAAAACAGTCCTTGTTTCCTGAGCAATGTAATAATCCAGTTTGTACAAGGGTCAGCTAAAACAGCACAATACTAAAGACAGGCATGAGAGTTAGCACTAACTCCTTATATGTCGTCTCCTGTGACTTTCAGACAGACACTCAACTGTTAAAGTTTCAGTTTCCTCTGAACAAACAAACAAACAAACAAACACTTGGGTAATAATACTTTTCCGTGAAAATTGAGACAATCTGTGTAAAGAAGTGAATCTGCTGATGGGCTAATACCATTACAAAAGTCATGCCAACATATCATGCCAACTACCATTACAAAAGCCACTGGGCTAACGACCATTACAAACATGCTAACTACAAATACAAATGTCTGCTAACTTAACTACCATTACAAATGCCGTACTAACTACTATTACAAATGTTGTGCTAACTACCATTACAAACGTCATACTAACTACCATTACAGATGTCTGCTAACTAACTACCACTACAAATGTCATGCTAACTACCATTACAAATATCATGCTAACTACCACTACAAATGTCATGCAAACTACCATTTGGTGGCAGTTTGGAAAGCTGCACACACCCTCAAGCTCCGCATTTCTCCTGACTGTATTTACCAAGGCCACATATTTACGCTGGCTCAGTGGCCCTCTTACAAAGCATGCCGTGCTTCAGGAAGCCATCCAGCTGTGGTAACTCTTGCCTCTATTGGAAGTTTACTGAGTCCTCATGCCTGTTCTACAGTGAGAAGAACTGTAGTCTGTGGACAGTCAGACCATACATCTTCACTAAACAATTCCAGCCTCACTACCCACCAAGCCCTTCTCACATCTAGAAGGAAAAATGACCAAGCCAGTTTTCTATTCTTGTCTGTGCCTCGTGTATTTATTGGCAGAGGCCCAGGAAATTAATAAAATGTTTAAAGAGTGGGCAGTAAGGAAGGAAGTAGACCCGAAGAAGGAGGGAAAAGAGGCTTGTATCATCTGCCTACTGAATAATTAGACCCTGAGTAGGGGGTGTTATTTATAACTTTCTCAGAAGAATGACATTTTGTTGCTCTTTGGAATGAGCTTGAATTCTGTATCTATATCTAACAAGCATGTTATGTAGTTTTTGAGATACACAGGAAGCTGCTGGAACAGAAAACAGAATTGCCAAGTACGACAGCTCCATTTGTGAACAGAGCCTATTAACTGTCCGTTTTAACTATTTAATATTAATGATTGTTTAAGGAAGTCCTCTATGCACGAACATTGGCCCTTTAAGAAAATCAGTACAGACCTGGGCGGTGGTGGCACACGCCTTTAATCCCAGCACTTGGGAGGCAGAGGCAGGCGGATTTCTGAGTTCCAGGCCAGCCTGGTCTACAGAGTGAATTCCAGGACAGCCAGGGCTACACAGAGAAACCCTGTCTCGAAAAACAAAAAACAAACAAACAAACAAAAAAAGAAAGAAAGAAAGAAAGAAAGGAAAAAGAAAAAAGAAAGAAAAGCAGATATCCCCTAGGAGGAAACCATGGAGTTTTCTCAGAGGCCGTTGTTTTATCTTTAGCTGACTGGAGAACAGGGACAGAGAGAAGCCAGCATACACCTACTTGGTCTCAGGAAAGGAGAAGGGAGCTAGGCTTGGAGAAAGCTCGGTTGAGCTCAAGGAGAAGAAGCCTGCATAGGGTCATTGTGAGCATATCAACCAGAGAATGGCCAGGCTTATGACTGGCTTGGGGCATGGGGGGTGTGGTGGGATGGAGTGGGGAATGGGACCCTTACTCAACCCCTGTCTCTCTTTCCAGGATTCTACTTGCAAGTCCAAATCTTGCTTGGGGTCCATCATGAACCCCAAGAGTTTGACCAGAGGACCCGGAGACAAGCCCACCCCGCTGGAGGAGCTTCTGCCTCAAGCCATTGAATTTGTCAACCAATATTATGGCTTCTTCAAAGAGTAAGTCTGACTTCCGTCAGGGTGACGTCCCCTGCCCTACTCCCTCGGGCTGACCTGTTTCCTACTGCTCCACTCTGACCTGTGAACTCAGTAATCTCCAGACTTGCTGGGGCTCTAGGCCCAGAGGAGAGCCTAAAGTGTTTGAAAGTTTAGAGGAGAGTGTAACTGGCTTTGGATTCTGGCTCCACCAGACCACTACTGAGTCCTGGAGAAATCCATACTCTCAACCTCCTCATCTGTAAAGTGGGCACCTTATAGCATGGCTCATCAGACAGCCATGAGATGTGTGCAAATTAGAACAGTGTCCTAGCCTAGGGGCCGCAATACAGTGACTTTTTTTTTCCCCCGAGTCAGGGTTTCTCTGTGTAGTCCTGCCTGTCCTGGAACTCACTCTGTAGACCAAGCTAGCCTCGAACTCTCAAACTCAGAAATCCGCCTGCCTCTGCCTCCCAAGTGCTGGGATTACAGGCATGCGCCACCACCGCCCAGCTAATACAATGACTTGGAATGGATCCTTTTATCCTGAAATAGAAGGAAGTTTAGAGACTTCCTTCTGAAGAGGAAGAGGTCTGGTCAGGCTTCTCCTCTTACAGATGTAGGCAAGATTCCCAGAGACAACTCTGGCATCATGCTAGTCTAGTTAGAATTCAGGAGGCCTGACTTGGAGGGGTGCTACATTTCTGGAATGCTGGCTTCCGTGAGTCCAGTGCCCAGACTCCTTTATTCTTAACTCCACCAGTCAGTCACTCCAAGCACCAAGTATTGTCCAGCCCGGAATACAGTTTTTTTCATTGCCAATTGCTAATGTTGTTGTCAATGCATTCAGTCGAAGAAAAAAAAAAAAAGAAAAGAAAGAAAGAAAATCAGTTCAAGCAAAGCTAAAACATTCTCTTTGATATCCAGCACAGTCACTTCCAGAATCCCTGCCGTTTTGTTATAATTGCTGTCTGCTGTCTGAGTTAAGGTCTTGCTGTGTAGCCCAGGCTTGCCTGTAACAGACAATCCTTCTGCCTCAGGCTCCACACCAGTGCTAGAATTATATAGCCTTGTACAACCAAGCCTCGCTGCTGACACAAATTAATGAGGAAATAGGAGCATAGTTAAAAGGCATGGGCAGGTATCTCACAGAGATGAATTAAAAATCCTCATTTTTAGTTCAAAAAATGAATAGGCTAGACACACTGGCTGCCTTTGAAAGACTGAGTCAGAACAATCACTTGAGTCCATAAGTATGAAGCTAGCCTGGGCTATATTGTGAGCCCATATGTGTGTGAGGGGTGGGTGGGGCTGGGCATAGAATTTCAAGTGCAGACGTCCAAGATTGATGGGCAATTTCTTTCCCCTTCACTCACAGGTAACGTTGAGCACTACTGTAATGGACACCTTCTGATCACGCTGTAGCTTGCAGGTAAAGCGGACTCCGTCGTCGCTTTCGTTGATGGGAGAGACACAGACAGAACTGATGTTGATTTTGTTTCCATTTTTCAGATCTACTACGCCATCTTCTCTGTACCAGAGAAGTTCTTCATCCCTGGTGTGGTTTTGAACAGCACATTCCAGAGATGCTTCGACACCATGTTCAGTGTCTAGTACATAGTTCTCAGTTCTACCATTCACAGTTAAAACAGAACCTGAGGATATAGGAAAAAAAAACTATTAAGATAGGCAGATATCTAGCCAAGATATCCATCAATGGGAGATTGGTTAAATGAATTATGATACATCAAGGCAATAGAATACACTCTCAACAACTGAAAACAATTTTATCAATCTATATGGTTCTACAAAGAGATAGTCTACAATGTATTTTGTTTGTTTGTTTGTTTGTTTGTTTGGTGAGTTATTCTCAAGCTGAAGATACTCCTGCCTCAGCTGGCCAAGTGCTGGGAATTCAGGTGTGAAAGCATGACATCTGATAATGATGTATCATTATCTAAACTGAGAAAAAATACTAAAAATTGTGGTCACCAAATTTTGTTCCACATTGAAACCACCCAGAGATCTTTTACATCTTGATACAACGCTCATACCCAGGCCATCTGTTTGATTGACAGGAGTGTAATCTAGGCATTGGGGCATTTGAACCCTAGGTGGTTCAGATGCACAATGAAGTTTGACAACCGAGTTAAGAACTGTGTGTAAAATAATCCCAGAATAATCTGATGGAAAAAAATGTTCAAGAAGAAAAGTCTTGGGAGAATATCAGATATTTATACAGACTAGAACTGGTAGATATAGGTCAAAGTGGAGTGACACCAAACCTGATGTACTTGCTTTGAGGGAGGCGGGTAGAGCAGGAAAGCAAGGACTTGGAAAAAGACTAGCAAAATGGAAAAATGTTAATACATAAGTCCAAAGGTAGAATATAAATTCCATCTCCAATGATTATCACAAGCATCAGAATTGGATATGTATATGGATAAAATCTGACTTAAAATGCTTTCCTTGCTAGATAATAGGAATATGGATGAGCTTGCTCTTGCATTTCTCATGTTTTAAAGATGGACAGTACAGTAAAATCTTAAAGCGTTTAAATGGCTATGATCCATGAGGTAGACAAGGTTCTGTAGGGTGCATAATCAGAATGCTCTTTGTTTTTTGAGGCAGGGTCTCACAATGTAGTACTAGTTGTCCTGGAGTTAGACCAAGCTGGCCTTGAAGTCACAGAGATGCCCCCTCCCTGCCTTTCCCTCCTGAGTGCTGGGATTAGAGGCATTCATCACCATGTTTTGCACGTTTTGGTTTTTGTGTTTTGCTCTGATTTTTGCCTGAATTTCAGCTTTTATTTTCCTGGTTCAGAAACAGGTAACAAAAGTTAGGGGTCCAGCTGCGGCTAGGCCATCCTCCAAAAGATGCATTAATATAGCTTTTAATATGCCTATAAGGCTGGACAGTGGTGGCGCACGCCTTTAATCCCAGCACTTGGGAGGCAAAGGCAGGCGGATTTCTGAGTTCGAGGCCAGCCTGGTCTACAGAGTGAGTCCCAGGACAGCCAGGGCTATACAGAGAAACCTTGTCTTGAATATATATGTGTGTGTGTGTGTGTGTGTGTGTATGACTATAAGTGTGACAGTGCCTGAAACTGTACACACTCATGCTGGGGCCAGAGGAGAACTTCAGGTGTCTTCTCTATTTTTTGTGCATGCTGGTCTTAAGGCAGAGGCTCACACTGAACCAGAAGCTTTCTACCTAAGCTCTGCTGGCCAGTAAGCTCCCGGGCTCCACCAGTCTCCACTCCCCAGTGCTGGGGCCACCAGTACACATAGCCGTGCCCAGCTTTTACAATGCACGATGAAAATGAAATTCTCATTCTTGCAGAGCAAGTGTCCTTACAAGCCCGTCAGTCCCCTTGCTTTGTTTCCTGGTGTTTCAGATTGAACCTGGAGCCTTTAAGCTAATAAGCATTTGATCTACTATCAAGCCACATCTCCAGTCTTCTGCCTCATTTATTCTTATCATGAGTAAGTTTTTTAAAACCTGAGAGAGGAGAGAAGCTACTTTGAGGCAGGGATACAGATAAAAATGTGGACAATATTTTCCTGTAAGTGACATGTTCAAATAAACAGAAGATTATCTCACTTGAAATTGGTACTGAAATACATTTAAAAGTGTGAAAATTCCGACTACGGTGATAGAAGAATAGCACACTCCATCCTGTCTTACACAATAAGAGCCATAAAAGGATTTTTTTCCTACTTTTTAAAATGTTTTCTGACTCTTATAACCTGAACCATTGTATTGGGTAGTCAGTTCAAATTATAATTTAAGGTTATTCCCAACATCTATAGATCACCATTTTAATTTACTTACTTAATTTTTTTTTAATCTAAAAAGAGGTCATAGAAAATATTAACTTACTTGTCCTCCCCTGAGGCAAAGATAAAACCACTAAGAGAAGCTGGCATGCTTGCAGTGGCCCGATGATCTTCCACACCATCTTTAATGAATGCAAGTTGGATCTTCTGTAAGCAAAGAATGCAGTTGGTTCTGTACTTTGCTCTACAATGAGTTTTGAACTTTCTTCCTATTAGGCATTTAAAATAAAGTCCCAAGTGAGTCACCCCAGCTGTAACGGTACACTCCTAGTTTTTAATTAAACAAGTCTGAATAAATTCTTTTAGTTTTAACTTTTTTATGGCAATGAAAAAAAACTATAATGGTATAGACATAGATATCAGATGACTACAAAGAGAAAAAAAATCTTCTCTAGAGAGAAAAATGAGTAAACTGTCACTTTAACGGAAAGACAAATGAATTCTCCATTCTCAGGTGGTCCTAACTGAGCAAAGTCATTCTTTTTTGAGAGTCTCACTTGGGTCATATTTGGAAAGCTATTCTCCAAACAGAGAATTCTTTTAAAATGTTTATCCTATATGTTTGGGCCTCTCACCAGCATGCAGGTCTGTGTTCCACTTGTGCGGCTGGTACCCAAGGAGGCAGGAACAAAGTATTGGATCCCCTGGAACTGGAGTTGCATATGATTGTCAACTGCAGAGAATTGCAGTGCTGAGAATTGAACCCCAGATCCTCTGCAATAGCAGCAAGTGCTTTTGAACACTAAGACATCTCTCTAGCCCATCATGGACAGCTCTTGAGATTACTACAGATTCAAAGGTGTCCACTTGCTACACACATGGCCTCTTGTCTTAATATTCCCTCCTCTTGGTCACATGTGGATTATCAAGGATAAATAAACAAGGCCTCTCATTTTCCTTCTGCACACTCCTGCTTCATCCTACTAAGATAATCCAGGTATGTCTGGGAAAAGCGTGCATACATTATTTCCCTGACAGATAGCTCTACTGTGCCTCAACTGTGCAAAGTCCTGGGTTTGACGCTCAGAACGGCAGACAGACAGACAGACAGACAGACAGACAGACAGAGTCCTACTGCTGCTGCTGCTGTGGCTGCTCCTCTTCCTTCTATTATTGCTACTACTGCTATTACTACATGTATGGCAGAAATACACGTGAATAACTTCTAGACACAATTGTATACTTCACATATATTTATTCAATCACAACGAAGCCTGACCATCATATTTCTGTTTTCCTTGAGATGGAGTCTTTCTCGATAGCCCTAGTGGGCTATAAAGCAACTTACAAGTCTCCCAGCTCAGGTCCTAAACACTGATGTGTGCTTCCTTGCCCTATAACAACAACCTCTTGATACATGAATGCAATTTTCCCAGCACATTTGCACAAAACCAGCAAATGTTAGGGTCAGGATTCCAACCCAAGACTGCCAAGGCCACACTCACAACTATTCTTCTGCCCAAATTAATATTCATTCCCTTCAAAAGATACTCCTAGTCTCTTCTAGCTCCTGGCCCCTCCATTTGCCCTAGCAACTTGGTATTTTGTCCCTTATCATGAATATTAGCTATTAAAAGCAGGAAATATGCATCTGACTAATTTGGGGCTCCTCTACTCCTCCTGTGTTCTAGGCCTGTCCTGACAGGACCAAATGTGCTTCCTACCAAGGTCTCTACCAATATTTTAATAAGATGCAATTACTATTAGCCTGAACATTTATAATTGAAAGTTTCTTGTCCAAAATATTGCTATGACTCTTTTGTAAGAGTGAGGACCTCGGGATCAGTGTGATGGCTCAGAGATAAAAGTGCTTGCTATTGTAAGCCTGACATCCTGAGTTCAAACCACAGATCCCATGTAAGAGAGAACAAACTCTTAAAGTTGTCCTCTGACCTCCATGTGTGTGCTGTGGCATGTGTATGCCCATTCCCCCACACACTAATAAATATGATGAAAAAGTGATGATTTAAAAACCTGATCTTTCATGGAGTTTTCTTAGTAGATGCGGGAGAGAGCTCTGCTGTAGCGTACAGGAGGTTCTGGGTTCAATCCCCAGCACTACAAGGATACGTGGAGGTTAGGAAAGATAACCCTCCAAGAATGCTAAAACAAATTTTCTCAAGCACCGTCTAATATAGGTCCTGAATAAAAACTCAAGAGTGGCTAGGCCATGGTGATGCACACCTTTAATTCCAGCACTCAGGAAGCAGAGGCAGGTAGATCTGTGTGAATTCGAGGCTAGCCTAGTCTACAAAGTGAGTTCCAGACCAGCCAGGAGCTTCAGAGCTACACAGAGAAACCCTGTCTCAAACAAAACAAAACAAAACAAAACAAAACAACCAAACAAAACAAACAAAACAAAAAACTGGCGTGTGAGGCTATACATTACCCTGTGAATGAGAAGAACTGATGGGCTCTTGCTTTCCAAGACACCAAAGTCTCCAAATAAAGTCCCCTCTCTACCCACTTACCTGCTGAGCTCTGAGCAGCTAACTTCCTCAGCTAGCTCTTCCTCTGCCCAGGAACCCTGAATTATGTCCCTGTCATGATCCTTTATAATACTTGAATTTGAACACTTTATGACAGTAGGGTCAAGTAACTGAGATAAAGTGGGTTCAAAGTCTGTTTTCCTTTCTAGATTCTTAGAGAAGACAGTAATTGGGAAGGACATCTTCACAAGGTGTACCTAGGTTACTAGGTGGGGCCGGATATTACTAACACGGGTGTATTGTTCCAGGGAAGCCTGAACTTGTGCAAAAATCTATAGCACATCTCACCAAACACTGTCCCTCTCTACTGAGATGACTGAGCCTGACAGCTGTGACAGGACAAGTCCAGGGAGAGGCTTGGCTTTCACAATTGGTGACATCTGAAGATTTCACATAACTTAATTATTGAAAAATTCTACCACCAGTTACCTGAGCCCAGTGCTGAAGCTATGCCAAGAGGTAGTTTTAGCTCCTTGAGGCTCTCACTTCATTGGGAAACCAGAGCAAGACACTTCAACGGACTTATTTTATTGGTAAAAATACTCAAGTTACTCAACGGGTAAAGCATTCGCTGTGTGAGATCTGTGTTTAGATCAAGATGAGGCGGCTGAAACCCAGCACTCCTACAGTGAGAGGGGGGTGGAAACCCAGCACTCCTACAGTGAGATGGGGGAGGAGAGGGAAGAATCCCCAAAAGACTACTTGCCATACAAGATACATGTCAATCAGGGTAGGAGATGAGGACCAACACACAAGGTTATCCTCTGACTTTCACATGTGCATGCATTAAAAAATAGAAAAATATTTATGATTATCTATACCCCTGCTTTTTTTCTGTTGCTGGAGATCAAACCCAGAGTCTTCTGTATGCTAAGCAAGAACTGCACCACTGAGGTACAACCCTAACTCTCTCCATTTTTGTTTTGTGGGTTTTTTTTATTATTATTTTTAGGCAAGGTCTCATATAGCCTAAGCTGACTTTGAACTCACTGTGTAGCCAAGGCTAGTTATTACTCCTGATCCCCCTGCCTTCACTCCCAAGTGTTAGGATTACAGGTGTGTGCCACCACGCTTGGCACCATCCATATATTTTAACACATACCAGAGAACTATTTCTTTCTGTCTGTGTGACTTTAAAAAGTTACCTAACCCCTAGGAGCCTTTGGTTCTTTGGGAACACAATAGGAATAATAACCGTGCCCTCCCTACAGTCACCGCGAGGATTAAGAGAAATGGAGCGTGTTAAGCTGCTGTACTGTAGGCTCTTCATAAGCCATAATTATTACTGTTATGAAGATAGGCTGGTCTAGCAGTATTCAAGTAAGGATCATCATTAAGAATAGCTCCTGTTAGCCAACAGGTGCAATACTCCCACCCCAAGCAGGCTTGGGGTTTACTTCTCAGTGGGTACCAGAGCCGCATGACACGTCTTTTATCATTTAAAAATGAATTTAGCAGGGCTGAAGAGTGCTTGCTGTTCTTGCAGAGGATCAAATAGTGGTTTCCAGCATCCAATGACAGGCAACTCACACTGCCTGGACCACCAGCTCTAAGGGATCTGATGCCCTCTTCTGGCCTCCACAGACACCTGCACACACCCACACAGAAACACAAATAACTTTAAAGAATGAATTTTGAAAAGTTCCAGTAGAGACACACAGGAAGTTGCTGGCTCTCTGGAAACAGTGGGTAACCTATGTAGGCCATGAGGATATGGGTAGGGCACATTGGGACTGGGTCCCTCCAATGTAGATCTTAAGAGAAATCTTTGAGTGCAAATAGTTCATTTAAGAACCATCTCAGGAAGCTTCGGAAGTAAGAGGAGGTCAAGGAGGAAAACTACCAAAGGGCATGCATGCTATTGGGCAAGTTACTACTACCGCGGCTCCTGGGATGAGTTCTTTGCAATACACACTCAGCTCATGCAAGGCAACAAGCTTGAGCAATTAGGCAACAATCCAGTGTCTTTCCATCTTTGCCTGAGCACCAATGACTCCCCAGCACTTCCAATAGAGACACACAGGAAGTTTCTCACTCTCTGGAAACCGTGGGTAACTCCTATGTAGGCCATGAGGATATAGGTAGGGCACTGACAGCAATTTCTTTACCTGGGTATTAGGTGATATTAGGAAATGATGTGGAAGAATGTCCCAATTCTCAAGAGATGCCATCAAACTAAATATAGGGGTTAAGTGTCATGATGACTGCAACTAACTTTCAGATGAGTCAGCAAAAACAGGACTAAGGATCTGGCTCAGTGGGAGAGTGTGTGTTTGCCATGTGCAGGGCTTTGGGTACAATCTCCCGCAACACAAAAGACAAATCAACAGACAGAATAAACATAGTAAATATTAGCTGATGTTTAGTGCATACAGCTAGGGCTAGAAAGATCTTTACTGGGCTATCCTTTCAGCTTCTGTATATGTTTGAGTACTGGAATGTTGATGCAGTGTATTAAGCAAGTATTTATTGAAAACCTATTGTGTACTAAGTATTTGGAATGCCAGTTCCATCCACCAATTATGTTGACTCTGTCCTGAATTAGGGAAAGATGCCTTTTGAGTCTCTATGGAAAACTGTTGATGTAACTCAACATACTCCAGGCTTTACAATATTAAGTGGGTACCCTAGGG